GAGATTCTCACGCCTGCGGCCCTACCTGAGACCCCACCATTGAGGCCACGGCGAGGCACCGGCTGCGAACGCGGGCGCCGCGCTGAACGCCGCGAACAGCGGGGTGAGTCGCCGCGCCGCAGCCGCGACCGTAGAGGCTGAGAAAACGCGCATTCTTGAGAGAAGGGCCATGGCGATGAACGCAGCAGCGCATGACGCGGCGGGAGCGCCGCGCAATGCGATCGAGGAATTTGACGTCAGCGGCGACGCATCGTAGCCCCTGGGGACGACGAGAGATCATTTGCTCCTCTGGGCAAGGGCGAGGCGCAGCAACAACGGGCCCGCGTCTGGGGCGGCGGGGAAGCCCGAGATGGGCGACGGCGCGGGCCCGCCCGAGTCTGCGCCGCAGGAGTTGAGCCGCGCGCGCACGTCGCGCCGGGCCCTTTTGTTTAGGCCGCGAGGCGCGTGCTGTTGAGTGCCAATGACGATGGGGCCCTCCAGGAGAAGGTGCAGGCGATCGTTGTGCTGATCAGGCACGGCGAGGACATTCCAAGTCACTCGGCGATCAAAGCGCACAGATGAGGCCTCAAGCTTCACCATGAGGTTCAAGCGAATGGCCGACGCTGAAGGGGCCAGCTTGAAGGCCATCGCTGACGCGCTATGGCTGGCCAGTGAGATGCGCGCGATGATCGAGCCGAAAGGCAACGCGCTGGCGACGCGGGTGAAAGCCAAGCACCGGGAGCTGCACAGCGAGCGCCCGATTCCCCCCCACACCACACGACGGCCAGGATGACGCCGCTGAAGCGCAGATGACCGACGAGAGAGCGAGTCTCGAGCTTTCAACGCACGAGACCCTCGCGATAATCATCTCATGATGATGTTTTTCCGTAACGAATGAACCCGCGCGCCCTGCCCCCATGAGAGCCTGCGTCGGCCCAGCGAGGATGCCACCCGTGCATTCTAGCCCTCGCAGGAGCCTTCGCGAGGCACCTCGAGGGCAGCAACGGCCGCCGAGCCACCCGAGGACGAGGTCTCTGACGATGGAAATTCCGAGGGTGTGATTTGCCCGGATTTCGCTAGGCCCGAGCATCAGCAGTCCTTTCAAAAATGGAGGTTGCGAGGCTTGAGTTCCGAAGGGGCCCTCGCGAAGCTTGAGCCGCCCAATTGATCTCAAAATGGGCGAGCCCGCGTTTCCTGCTCCCGCGAGAGCCCGCGCTGGGCCAGCGAGGGCGCCATCCGTGCATTCCAGCTCTCGCGCGAGCCTGCACGAGGCACCTCGAGGGCATCAGCTGCTGGGACACATCGCCATGTGGGCCTCCAGCACCAGCGCCTGCGAGGAGAACGAATACAGCCAAGCCCTCTGAGGACGGGGGTTCTGAGGGCGGAGACTCCGAGGGCATGATTTCCTTTGGCTTCGCGAGGCCCGAGCTTCAACGATCCTTCCAAGGACGAGGGTTCTGAGAGCGGAGCTTCTGCAGGCCCTCGCGGGACTTGAGCTTCAGCCATCTTCGAGGGTGGAGCTTCTGAGGGTGGCATTTCTGCGCGCCTCGCGGGCCCCGAGCCTCAACGGCGTTTCCAAGGACGAGGCTTCCGAGGGCGAGGCTTCCGAGGATGGCGTTTCTGAGGGTCCGCTCGGGTCCTGAGCTTCAACGGCTCTCTTTGGAAAGAAATTCCAGGGTAAAGTCACCGCGGGTCAAGTCTCTGAGCCAAGATGTTCCAGATGTGCGCTCCTGAGGCATAATGAATAATAACCGTCATAGATACAATCGCAAACGCAGTCGCAGCTGCCGACGTCGCCGCTGCGCGGCGGGCGCCGCGCAGGAGAAAAAATGTTCACCCGATTGGTCAAAATCCAATGTGCGCATAAGGCCGCGAGGAAAAATGCGCCTCGTTGGAGAGTCTAGAAACCATCTGCGGTTGCAAACGAAGGCGCCAGTCAAATCAAAAATCGGCGTTGCAAACCATGAAAGCAGCGACGCGCAGGCGCGCGATATCCGCCGCGGGGGCGCGTCGGCCACATCCACGGGCTTTCGACGCCAATGTGCAGATACTCATGGTGGATGTCGGGCGTGGATGTTGTCTCTGGAACTTGGCCTCAGCGATCCTGCTCCGATAACCCAGCCCCTGCGGGCCAGACCAATGCGGCATCGTGCCAGCCCTGCTGTCGGCGCCAAGCCATATCAGTCCTTCGGCCCACGATCAGGAATAAGCTCAGGACGGCGTTCACAAATCTTCCCCTCGCGGGCCCCAAACCACGTTGGCGCGCGGTCTTGGCCCCCGCGGGCCGGGCAAAAACGGTCTCGGGACATGTTGATCCGGTTGCGCGCGGCCACGTTGGCCCGCTGGCCCAACCGATGCGCGCTGGACTAGAGCGGCCTTAGAACATCCAGCTTCTGCGGACTGCGCCCTTTTGATCACGCGGCCCAGCCCGCAGATTCAAGCAATACTAGATAGACACTGGCCCGAAGCACTCTCAACCCATTGGCCAACCCCAAGACGGCCTCAAGCCATTCTGCCCCTATCCTCCCCCGGTGATCCGTCGGCCCAGCCCATGCGGGCGGAGGAAACGCGCCCCCGATCGCGTCATCTTGCTCCTACGACACAGCCCGCCTGATACAGTTCTGATTGTTGTCTCCATCCCACCCAATATTTATCGAGTGGTCCCGGCCCCTGCGGGCTGGCCCAAGCTGGCGTCGACCCATCGTGTTCGGCTGCCCCCGTGACATTGCTCCGTTGGCCCAGCCTCCGGGGGATGTACCTATACAACCTCGGGCAATCCTGCCTTCTTTGGCACCGCACCGTGGACCCCAACCCCTGCGGGCAGGACCGTGACGGCCTCGCGCGACTTGGTAGTCGTAGCAACAGCACGAACAGCAGCATGGGTAGCAGTAGTAATGCTATAGCGGCAATTCCAACAATTCAAGCAGTACTGGCGGTCCTAGCCTGGGTGCAATGTGCCAGGGCAGTAGCAACAGTAGCACGAGCACAAGTAGTACGAATAGTAATACGACCAGAAAGGCATTGCGAGTAGCACCTAGTAGTACGGTGACGGCGACGGTGCCAGCAAAAGTATCCACGGGGGGGGACTAAGCGGGGCGGGGCCTGAGCACCGTAAAAACCAGATAGTAGTAGCGGTAGCAGTCGCAATAATTCGCCGGCCCAACGGGCCAGAGGCGTGCTAAGATCTCCGGCAACTGGTTAACAATTCTCTAGTTCGCGCGCGCGGGGCGCCCCGGCCCCCGGACGAAAAGTACCCCGGGCGGGTCCCGGCTGATCCCCGGGCGACTCCACCAGAGCGCTCCATGAGCGCACCAACAGGGCTCCGAGACGTCCCCGAGAGCCCCAAGAAAGGCTAAGAGGCCCCCAAGAGGCCCCCAAGATGGCACACGAGGGGTCCGACATGCCACAAGGTCGCTCCAAAACGCCCAAGATAGCCCCCAGACGCCCCAAGAGGCCTCCAAGAGCACTCCCAAGAGGGCCCCAGGAGGCAAAATTAATTGTTTTTTCCTTAGGTGTTTGAAAGATTTTGGAGCTTCCACCTTTTCGGCTTCCCGACGCCCCAAGACGGCCCAAGAGGCCCCCAAGATCGCCCCAAGAGGGCCCAAGAGGCCCCCAAGAGGGCCCCAAGATGGCCCAAGAGGGCTCGAAGACGGCCCAAGAAGCCTCCAAGACGGTCCAAAAGGGCCCCAGGAACGCCCCCAAAGGGGCCCCAGAGAGGGAACACGAAACAACATTTCGAGCCCTCGGCCCTAAGAAGCCCCCACGAGGCCCCAAGAGGCCCCTAAGAGGCCCCAAGAGGCCCCCACGAGGCCCTCAGGAGGCCCCCAAGAGTCCCCCAAGCGGCCCCAGGAGGCCCCCCAAATGCCCCCCCGAGCACGCAAGCAAGTGCAAGCGATGCTACAATGTGCTCTCCTTTCGGTAGACTCCCAACGGGGCCCCTACAGACTTGCAACAAGCGTCAAGAACCTGCCCAAAAAGCACTGTCCAGGAGCGTTCACAAGTGCCGCGAAGAAGCCCTCCTTACGCCGGAAAGCCCGGAAAGCCGGGTGGGGTGAGCTGTTCTTCTCACCACCGCGCCCTCTCACACAATGGCTTCCGCACGCCGCCCAGAGCGCGACGTTCGGCTCATGCCCCCAGAACGCTCCAGGAGCGCGCCAAAACGGCACCGGAACGCCCCCGAAACAATCCAAGCGGCCTCAAGTCGCCGAACAATCGTTCCAAATCGCCCAAGATGACCTCAACATTGCCGTCGAGGCCGCCAAGAAGCCCCAAGAGAGCCTCAAGAGGCCCTCCAAGACGGCCATTACAATCAAAAATCGTCCCATTCCCAGAGGAACATGTACACTTCCCGCATGAACGGCGTTTCGAGTTTCACAGCGCCTCAGACTACGCAAATAGCCCTCAACATCGCCCCGAGACAGCCCAACAATCCGCTAAAATCGGCCCAAGACGGCCCAAGATAACCCCAAGACGGCACAAGAGAGCACCAAGACCGCCCAAGAGGCGCCCAAAGCGGGATTCTGTCCCTAGGAGCACCTCAGAAGCCACCAACATCCCGCCAATAAGTCCCCCAAGACGCCCCAAGAACCACCGAAGAAGCCCAACAAGAAGCCCCAACGACCCCCAAACGGCCCTTACGGGGCCTCAAGAGGCTTCAACACTGCCTCCAAGAGTTTCCCGAGACGCCTGGCAAAAAAAAACCCAAAGCGCCGCATTGACACCAGGCCCTCGGGCAAACGGCTGACATGAGACTGTATGGGCCGGCGGAATGAGCAAGCGATTAAATAAGAGAGCACGGAGATGTGAGTAGTGAGAATAATACTGAGAATGCGTAGCCTGGGGCTCGCCATCGCACTCAGCATAACACGATCCAGGGCAAACACAGTGAGGCAAGAGGGAATATTTGCTTGTTGTGCAGAACACCAGCGATACATGGAATCATCATCAGCGCATGCACCATCTCACCACCAAAAAACATACGTGCGTCCCTTATCCTGCTCCAATCTGCAAAGCGGAAGAGCCTCCGCCGGGGCGAGCAGGGACTTGATGCGCAGCATCACCTTGCGCATCGTTCAACGTCAAGAGGGGGGACGCGGGCAAATTAGTTCAACGTCGGTTCCTGGACCCCTCCTGGGGTTGAAACTGACAGTTTTTCTAGCCGCGTCCAGCCGTGGGCGACGAGAGGGGCCCTTTGCTGCCCTCTCTGTTGGCAAGGACCAATGCTGGGCCACCTCAGCCCAGCAGCCGGGTCCAAGGCAGGGGGGGGGGCCCTCTAAATCACTCCCGGGCTATTCGTCCCGCGCGGTCCGGGAGGAGGCACAGCCATCGGTCCCCTCGGGGGGGGAGCGCAAAGGCTGCACTCGCGGTGTCACATCTCGGACGCGAGAGCGCCGGATCCCCTCGGCACCGAACTGTCAGCGCAGAGCCTCCGAGCGGCGGTGTGTGCGTGTCTTTTCTCTTGGAGGGCGGCGCAGTCGTCTTGCGTGCGAGCTATCTGGCTCACGCAGTGAGCTCTTCTCGAACCCTGAGATCTGGGCGGTGCAATTTGTTCACACCAGGTGTTTCCGAACGGCGTCGGGCCCAAAGACCATCACATATCGATCCAGCTCTCAAACTCAAAATGGGGTCGATGGTTCCAATCTTGATTTTGACGATGTTGCAATTTGTTCGCAACGCCAGATCTCACGAAACACCCACCCTGGGTTGCCAATGACGTTCCTAACCCAGTCCCCAGTTTCAAGCGCTATCCTGGAGCCCCTGGTGCCCTCTAGGCCTCGTGGTGGGGTGCTGTGTAGGCCGTCGGGGCCTCCTTGGAAATCCTTGGGGTTCCCTGGGCCACCACCACCACTGGCAACACCCGAGACCACTCAGCAGGCCGCGCTCATCTCCGTGCGCTTCGCGACGCCCTCCTCGGAGAGCAGCAACTCTCCAGCACGAGCCGCGACGCGACACGCGCAATTATCTTCGCGCCCCCGCGGGTGCCCAACCTCTGAATATCGTTTTCTCTTTCTCTCAATGTCCCTGTCTCCGCCTCGAGGTACGAAGTGGAGTGTTCCTCAGGTCCTCGAGAGTTTTCTGTACTCTGTATTGCAACTATCGTGCCAGGTGCAGGTAGCCAAACATCTCAAATCTTCCTGGCCCTTCCAAGCGCCAGCAGACATCCCAGCGTGACTTTTCCAAAAGCCCGAGGCTTGCTATGATGTGCCAAGAGGGCCCCAAAAAATGTCCAAGAGGGCCCAGGCAGCATACGGACGTCTGGGGGCCCCCACGGTGTTCTTTTCGGGCCGCGTGGAAGCCTCTCGGGGCCGTCCAGGGCCGTGTAAGGCGCCTCTTGGGCCACCTTGGGGCCGTTCTGGGCCCACTTAGGCGCCCTTTGGGCCACCTTGGGGCCATGTTGGGATGTTTAGGGCCTCTTTCTTCTTCTTTCGCACCCGTTCGCAGCGTCTCGCTCGGGTGAACATTTCGCCTGCTCAGAGAATCGCCCGGGCAAGCTCACAGATCTTCTCCATGTCAGCTCCATGTTTAGGGCCTCAACTGAGCCCTATTCCGAGTCCTCTTGGACCGTTTTGGGCGCACCTAGGTTGTTCTGAGGCCGTCTGGAGCCATGTTGGGGCCGTCGTGGGGTGAACATGTCAATGTCCACACACACACATACACACAAAATCAAATGCGACGATTTGTGCTTGATGGAACCCTCTCGGAGGCCGCCCTGGAGTTCCTGGAGGCTGGTTGGAGGCTTCCTGGGCGCCGAAGATCATTTGTGAAGACGTTTTTGGCCGTTTGGGGGCTGAAAACGAGTCATTGTGCCTCTGGGGCCGCTGCAGGTCCGAGTGGATGATTTTCGGTGCCGTCTTTGGCCGTTTGGGGGCCCTGTCGGGGCCGTTGCGAAAGGCACCACCATCGCGCCATCCCCCTGTGCGAGCCGCCAACACGATCCTGAGCTAGGGGCCGAACCCAACCTAGCGAGGCGTCTCTCTCGCGCGCGCGGCCAACGGCACTGTCGCAGGAGGATCCAAGCCGAGGGGCCGAGGCCATCGCGCGCGCGGCGGAGCAGGGGCCGCCTCTATTGCGTTTCCTCGCGCGCGCAGGCGGCCGCCGGCGGCGCGTCTTCCGCGCGCGACGGCCCAGCGCCGCCGCGCGTGCGCGGCGGCGCAGAGACCCCCCCCCCCGCCGCATGTCACAACGCTCGACGGCCCAGCGACGCCGCGCGAGCGACGGCGCAGAAGCTGGCCTCGTCAAAATCTGCCCACGCGCGACGGCGCAGCGCCGCCGCGCGCGCGGCGGCGCAAGGGCCGCCTCCGTTGCGTTCCTCTGCGCACGGCGGCACGGCGCCCCCTCGCGCGGCGTCGCAGAAACCGCGCGGCGTCGCAGAAACCGCCGGCGCAGAGGCCGCCCCCGCTGCATGCCTCCACGCACGTCGGCTCAGCGCTGCCGCGCGCGCGGCGGCGTGGAGGCGTTGGCCGAGCGGTTGCCTCGGCGTCAGCCGAACGGTTGTTGCGAACTTCGATTGCCAGGGCTCCCCCTGTCTTGGCGTCAGGCATGCGATTTGGGCGACGCGCGCTGCGCTGCACTCCTATCTCGCGCAATGCGCGAGCGGTTTTTTGCGAGGGATTATCGAAGGGCGCCTTGCGTTTTTGCTCCAGCCGAGCGATTTGAATGAAATCCAACCACCAGAGGGTCCCAGCGCAAGGGTCTAGTAGGCCCTGAATCGCTCAAAGCGCAAGGGTCTGGGAGGCTCTGGGTCGACCGAGGCTTCGATAGCTTGGGCGATACTGGATCGGCCGAAACCAAACAGGCCCAAAAAACTCCGGGCCACGCGAAACTCATTGGCCTGGGAAGCTCTGAATGAAACCGTTCGGGCACCCACCGCGAGCGCGGGTGAGCGCGCCCAAGCGCTGGCGACGTGCGCGGGCGGAGGCGCCCAGGCACCCGCGGCGCGCGCAGGCACCCGCGCCCGAATTGACGGCCCGAGTTGACCGCCCCGAGTTGGCCGCCCGAAGGTACCGACCAAAGGGGCCAGGCGAGTTGACCGGCCGAAGTGATCGGCCGAGTCGAACGGCCAAGTTGATCGGCCGAGTTGATCGGCCAAATTGATCGGCCGAGTTGATGGGCCGAGTTGATCGGCCGAAATGATGGGCCGAGTTAATCGGCCGCATTGGTCGGCCAAGCTGATCGGCCAAATTGATCGGCCGAATTGACAACGCGCGCGCGTTGACGAGTTGATCGGCCCAGTTGGTCGGCCAAGTTGATCGGCCGAGTTAATCGGCCGACGCGCGCTTTGATGAGTTGATCGGCCAGATTGACCGCCCGACCGCGCGTTGACCGCCCCGCCGCGCGCTGACCAACCGAATTGACCGCCCAGGTTGACCGCCCAGCCGCGCGTTGACCGCCCCGCCGCGCCGTAACCGACCGAATTGACCGCCCAGGTTGACCGCCCAGCCGCGCGTTGACCGCCCGGCCGCGCGTTGGACCCCCGAATTGACCGCCCGAGTTGCCCGCCTAACCGCGCGCGGACCGACCTGGATCGGCCGCCCATAAGCCAGTTGACCGCCCCAGGTTGACCGCGCAACCGCCTCCCTCGCGCGGAGCCGCGAAGGCGAATGGCGGGCGAGACTCGGCCACGACGCGCTGGGAGACACCAGCGGCCTCAGAGGCACGTCCGACGGAAGGCCGCTCGCGCTGCGTTTTCCGCGCACGGAGGTGCCTGGCCGTCGCGCGCGCGGGAAATCCAACGCGAGCGCCCTTCTAGCCGTCGCGCGCGCGGCGGCGCAGAGGCCGCCTCAATCTCGCTCGCGCGCGCCAGGCGGCGCCGCGCCGCCGCGATAGTGGAACGTGCGAATGCCGCATGCTGTCTGGTAGGGTTTCTGCATTCGCTGACGGAGCTCGCCCGCCCCGCCGCGCGCTTTCCCGCGCGCCGCCCCTTCTCCCGAGGGTTCCCGGGCGACCGCGTTGACTCCCTGAAGCTTTCCAAGTCTCCCAAAACGGCCCCGGGTGGCAATCGGCCGCCAAGATGGCCGCAGGTTCTTTCTTGGACGGACAAAGATGGCTCCGAGACAAATCAACGCGGCACCACGGAGGCCCAGCACGGAACCAAGATGGTTCAGAGAAGCCCCCGATACGTCCCAGGACGGCCCAGGAGGGCTCCAAAAAGACCCCGAAAGACCCTTGGTACGACACTCGCGGATTTTGATACGGCGCTTCATTGACTTGGGGGCATAATTGCTTCCGGCTTCAATCAGCCCGAGAGGGCCAACGAGGCCTCCCGCGTTGCCCTGAGACGGCCCAAGACGCCGCGACAATGAGCCGAGAAACCTCCAGAATGCGGCACAGGACGGCCCCAAGAGAGCCCCAAGACAGCCCGCGAAGACAGCCGAAGGGATCCAAGACGGCCCGGGAGGGCCTCTCGACCCCAGACGGACCCAGGCGCCCCCGCGACGCCCCGACGAAGGCCGCAAGAAACCCAAGACGGCTCACGCGGAGCCCAGAACAACCCAGGAGAGCCGCAAGGGGCCCGCAAGACGGCCCCACAGGAACCCAAGACTGCCCTCATACGGCCCAGTTGAACTCCATGAGGGCTCTTTAAGAAATTCATTGGGAGTGCGCACGTGTGACAGCCTAATGTTTGTCTCCTTCGCATTATGGTCGCCGTCCCCGTCGCCGCTACCGTCGTTTCCATCGCTCGAACAGTCGCCACCCAAAGTGCTGGGCTGGCGCGGTGGAGGGACTTGCTTCTGGCAGCTGGGCGCAGCGCGACACGCGCTCGGCGACGCGCAGGCGGTGCTTTTTTCAGAAGACTCGCCCACTTCCTTCGGCTGTGCAAAGTCCCCGCGCAAACAGCGCGTGACATCGAAGCCTCGCTGTGAAAGATGTGCGCTCGTGCGTTCGCGCGCCTCGCGCTGCGCGGTGCGACGCAAAACTCGCGCCGACGAGCGCGTGCTCGCGTGCTCCGCGGCAACAAGGCCGCTGGCGCCGCGGGCCATAGAACGAGCCACGCGTCGCGGGACCCAAGGGGAACCGCGCTGTCGGCAAGCGATGGTGCACGCAGAACTCAGGAAATCAAGACCGCCCCCCGTCGCAAATCTGAAGTCGATCTTCGTTGTTCTACCATGCGGGCCGAGGTCGCAGACGGACGGCGTCGCAAGACCGAGGCCGAAGACAAATACCGAGGCCAGAGACCAACTTGCATCGCAAGACGCAGCTGCAAAACCATGCCCGAACACCGACGCCCAGGGGCACTGGTCGAAGCCGGCAGCCGCGCCTAACCCATCGGACAACCCACCAGACCGACGTATATGCAGTAGTGAAGAACAAACGACACTTTCAAGTGCACACCAACAGCTAAGAATCTGGAGCCACAACTTAACTCCAACATAATTCAAAACCAGAAATTGGCCCCAAAAACCTTCACGCCAAAACAAAAAAACTGATTTCCGTTTGAATCGCTTTCCCTGCCACTTCTGATGCCATTCCTACTGGCGACCCCGTTCTCTGACCCGCGGACAAACCCAAGGTTCAAACTGGTCCTCCTCCTCCTTCTCCTCATGCCCCACCCCTCCTGCTTACAGATAAATCGTCCCTGTCGCACGCCGAGGCCAATTTTCTGCATGGGACTTCCTCGCCACGCATGATCCTGAAGCTTAGAAGTTTGCAACAGTCAAATGAAAGGCGGGTGGACTTCGACCGGCCTGTGGTTTTCGCCCCAGCGCCGCGCACATTTGTTTTTAGGAGTTGCAGGAGATTCATCGATTGAGGGCCGGCGTTTTGCAAAATGCGGCCCTCGCCTTAGCGCCGCGCGCATTCGTTCGAAGAAATTGCAAAATGAGTTTCACGGGTTGAGGGCGGGCGCCATCGAAACGTGGCTCTCGCCACGACGCCGCGTACTTTCGTTTTCAAAGACTGCAAAAGATTCACGGCTGGAAGGCGGGGCGTTTTCAAAATGTGTCTCTCGCCTTGGCGCGGCGAACATTCGTTCCGGAAGCATGCCGGAACTTCGCGGATTGAGGGGGGGGGGGGGGGGGGGCGTTTTTCAAAATGCGATTCTCGCCTTAATGCCGCGCGCGCTCGCTTGCGCAACTTGCAAGATATTTGCGGGTCCCCATCAAATCAGAAATGGCGCCTTCAAACGATTGACTTCCAAAAGGGGCTGTTCTCTAGGCGGGCATGAACTGTTGCAGGGGCCTGTGATGAGGGAGCTTGGAGGGAAAATGTATTCCAACATCGTGGATGACTCTTGGGGTTGCAGCGGTCCTCCTCCTCGCCTGCTCCTCCCTTTTTTCCGCCCACCCACCCCCCATCCTCCTCTTCCCCCCCTCCTCCCCCTCGCGTTTCTCCCCCCATCACCACGCCCCCCCACCCCCCTCAAGGGCGCGTCGCTGCAGCCGAGAATTCACTGCCTCCGCTCGCCGACGGGCCTCGCGCCTCCATTGCCGGCGGAGTTTGAGCAGCGAGCTCGCGCGGCACTGGAACGGGAAAAAATAGCAACGCGGACGCAAAGAAGATAGGCACAAAAGAGGAAGGACAAGAGACCGCCCAAAGGGGGGCGAAAGAAGACCAATGCCGCGGACGGGACATTCAGGAATGGACGAGACACGCAGAAGCTCTGTGACAAGGCCCCATGGCCGAGGGCAGCACCAGCAATGCAACAACAAACCTTGCGCACTGCGACATCCGAGACAAAACTCTCGCAACTCATTATCATGCACCCTGGAATTTGTGATCCACGCCCCACTCCGAGCCCTGATCATCGCAGATCTCACGGCAAGCGGAAGTTCGAAGATCTCACTCTGAACCTGCGGCCACTCCAAACTCGTGAAAGCCCCCTGTCGCTCGGAGAAATGCCGCGACCCGCGGACGCGCCCATCTTTAGCGAGAGACGCTCCGAAAATGGAAGCAGAGATGACGGCAGAGATGGCGCCTTGCATCTGCGCGCATCTGCATGGACTGCTGTTGCGCGGACAACACTTCACGAGCTTTCGAAGCGACGGCGGGCCCCGGGGCATTCAGGCGCTTCGACTTGGGAAATCCCAGGGCCGCTTCTTGCAGCTGCTCCACAAAGTCAGGGGCGCTCCAGAACCGAAGGCGCAACTGCTACAAATCCAATCTCCTGAAGCGAGAACCTCATGATCGCTTCTTCTCTTAGCATGCTGAGCAGGGCTCGCCACTCTGGAAGCGAAACCCAGGCCGACCGAACTAGGGTAGCGGCGCGAGCTACTACGACGCTGGCTATCTCGGTCTGCCCCATGCTTCGAGCTCAATCACGGATGACATAGATAGAGAACAGGGGGGAAAAGAGAAGACAGAGGCGAGGGGGGCATGCTCCAGACGAGGGGAGAGGGGGTACCACATATGGAACGCAGAAGCATAGAATATTGAACGACGCAAGAGAGTGGGAATGGCCCGTTTATTACACAGACACCCTGCTATCGCGGAGGGCGCGCCAGCTCTGCAAATCCGGGCAGCGCGACCGCGCCATGTCTGGGTGGGTTTGCGCCGGGCCTCGGGGGGGGGCACGGCCCGAAATCAGCCCCAGATTAATAAGCATGGGAAGGACTTTAAACTCCCTCCACAGCGGGCCGCGCGTCCGCAGCCACCGCCGGTTGCGGCGTCGGAGCAACGGGGGAAAATTGTCAGCGAGCGGCGCAATGAAGCATTTGTTTGGCTTCAGCCTCAGATGCGCGAGCCGCTCGCTGCCGTCGAACGCCGACCTCGTGTTCCGCGGCCGAAGAGCTGCGCGGAACTCAGTCACGACGGGGCGGCTGCCGATCCCAAACGGCGCTCCTGACGCTGGGCGGCCTTGCAGAATGCCTGAGCGGACAGGAAACAGCACCTGGTTCTCCCTCTGGAAGACCCCGAAGCAATCACAATCGCGCAAATGCGCCGATGGAATGCACCCACTGGCGGCGGCAACTGTAGTCAAGGAAGATTGCGGAGTATCCATTCGCGCGAAACCGACGGGAAGACCCTGCCGAAGTCGAACGAACAGACGCGCGGGAAGAGACGCGGCTGCGGAAGATTGCACGAGCACCAGTCGCGCCCGCGCGTCTAGGTCTAGAACGCCCTTTCCAAAGTTGCGGCCGGCGCGAACCCTCTCTGCTCGCAATCCACGGAGGCGCCGCGCTTCCGACTGTGATGTTGAACTACGGCACTCGCGGGGATCCCATTCGAAGTCTGTTTGGCCCCCAGGGGCCCAGCCTTTCCTGCCGCACTAACCACCTCCCCCCGCCCTCCTCCCGCCGCCCTCTCGCCGAGGAAGAACCTCGAATATCGCTAAACTCAGGGAGAAGAACGCGGCCGCGAAGAACCCGCCAGAGCGCCCTATCCAGAACCACCGCCCCAGAAGGATTGAATCTCCAGGCCGCGTAAAATCGGCCGCCTGGCCCCGGAGCGCCGCCGCCGGCCCCCTCGAGAGAGTTCCGCGCGCCAGCTGAAGCGAGCGGAGGGGGCCCCTTCAGGGAGACTTCAGATATCGCGAGACTGCTGTCTTTGGAGGGTGAAAGAGGGGGCCTGCAACAGGGGGTCTTCAATCGGGGTTGAATGGCTCATGTATGCTCAATGTATCGTTCATGTATGTGAACGGGTACGATTGGCATTCAATGTTGGCGGTCATTGAGGGCCAGTCGTTCGTGCCCGCGCGTTGCCCGCGCGGGCGCGCGCGCCGTCCATCCATTATCGTTCATGCGCGCGGGGGTTCTTGCATATTGCGCGTGGGGCAGCGAAGTGGAGTGCAAGTGTGTCTTGATTGTGCGATTGATGATCGTGTATGTTCCCAGACGATGACTTCTCGACCCCCAAGACAGATTTGGAGTGGGGCCCACCTTTCTCCCAAAATGTGAATTTACATTTTCCTCTTTCCCAGAATGTGAACTCGCATTTCCCTTTTTTTCCCAAAGTGTGAATTTACATTCTGGCCCCTTTTCATAGAGAATCCCATGCAGATTCCCAAATGTGAATTCACATTTTCCTTTTTTTTCCAAAATGTGAATTCACATTTCCTTTTTTTCAAAAATGTGAATTCACAGTTTGCTTTCCCCCACAATGTGCATTCACATTTGGCCCTGGCCTTCGAGATCCCCAATGCTGAGGCGTTTGGTTCCGCATGTCAGATTGGTTGGGCAGATTTCGGCACTTACCTGACCGCTTTAGTTTGTTCCAGCCTTTTCTTTTTGCGCCCTCAGCGCACGTTGCCTTCGTCGCCTTTCCCGAGCCCCCCGCGCCCTTGATTCCTCTCCTTTCAAGTCTCGCGCGCGGGCGCAGGCGGGGGGCTTCCATTAGTTCCCCCGCCGAACGCAGCAATCGAGGACGCATCGCCCATTCATGGCCCATAAAAACATCATTGCCAGGACCCTGCGGCCGACCCCCACTTCCACCCTCCAATGTCTGGCCCACTTTATCTCCTGGCCGAAAGACAGCGCCCCGGCGACGCCCAGGGCCTGGCCAGAGTCGCGGGCGACTGCTCCGCCGCCCGCCTTGAGGCCACGAAGAGTCACCAGCCTGCCGAAAGGGGGCCGGGGTTTGCCTCGAGCGACTCGGCCATTCTGCCGTCGTCGTAGCTTGCTTCGCGTGAACGCGTTCGTCGACGTCGCTATCTCCCCCTTCGTCTTCGCCTCCTTCCCGTTCGCTACCTCTCTTCAGATCTCGCCCGTCGTCGAGGCAAACCCGCCAGCATCTACGGGCGCGACCTTCTCCGCCACGGGGTCGACGCACGACGTTCCCAGACCAGTTCGGGACTCGGACATATCTCCCCCCCGAGCTTCAGGCCCTGGCACCGCGCCGCACGGGCCGCGCTCTTCGCGGCGATGTTTTTGGAAAAGAGACTGCTGGGATAATTAGCTGGGGTTGCTCCGACGAAGTGAATTCCGAACAGCGCGAGCGGCCCCCGTGGTTTTCTCTGCGAAGGCCAAGGCCAAGGAGGGGCTGGTCGCAATCAACGGTTCCAAAAACTTGCTTCAAACACTTCCGGTATTTTCAGGCGGGCGAACACTCCCCATTGGGGGCTTTGATCACGTCCCCATTGCTTTCGAGGTCTACTCTTTGAAACAAGAAACGGGAAGCGGGGCGCGGTCGCCGATGCCCTCTTGCCACAGCACCTCGGGAAGCTCCCCCCGCCCCCCCCCCCCCCCCCCAGCGGCGGACAGCTGGGTGAAGACCCGGCCCTCGAGGCTGGCGAAAATCTCATCCAGCGCGGACAGGGGCCTGCGCCCCGCGCAGAAGCGCGTCGGCTCAGGGACTGGAATCTCAACCATGGCACCCAAGGCATTCATCAGAATCTGATCCTGGCCCTCCAGATTTTCACACAGACCTAATTTTTCGGGTACCCAGGCCCTCTGGGTTCACGCGGACAACCTCTGGATTCCCGACGTCCTCTGCGCGCGGCAGCTGGTCGGCAAAATTATCATCGCCCGCCGCGACAGCGAGCGCGGTGTCGGGGGGGCCTTCGGGGTCTGAATATATGTCACGATACGCCCGGCGATCGCATTCCTCTGGTCGGCCGAGAGGCCGAAGTTATGCATGGCTTACCAGAGGCCCCCGGCAAACACAACTCTCACCCCAAAGGCCCCATCCTGGACCAAAGCTCTTGAATCCACGGCCGGCGGGGAGCCAGCGACCAAAACTCAGGGGGCGCAGTGGCCACCCCTCCCGCGCGCGGCATGCTACTGACGCTTACCGTGGCAAGGAAATCCTCGTGCGCGCGATACCGTAACTCGCGCGCTTCCATTTCTGACCCGCGCGTTGCTTGATCTGCCAGAACCGCCCCGGGAGTCCGGAGCGACAGTCCGAAGCCACCGAGTTTTCCGATCCCGAGTCGAAGGGCCACGATGAAACCGGATTCTGGCGTTCTCCGTCGCCAGAGTTAGCCCCAGCTGCTCCTTGTCTCGCCAGCGGGCGAGCAGCGGGGCAAAGACTCTACGAGACTGACGCCGTCGGTCGGACGAACTCACGCGCAATACTAGGACGGACTCTGTCGAGGTCAAATCTCCACGCGCGAAGATTCTCTGAAACACAAGGCACAAGCGGCTCCTGATCTCCAGGCCGAAGCTGCACCCTGAGCAACGGAGCCCTGTTGGAGCTGAGCTCGCACGTCTGCTTATCCACGAAAATGCAGGCCGATGGCTGCGGGTTGCTAAGGATCGCGCGCGCCTTCTCGGTGCATATATCATGTTTGACCATCCCTGGGTTCCTGTCTCCTGATACACACACACACATATATATACATATATATATATATATATATAAATATATATGTATCAGAATGAGGGGGCTGAACCGAACGGTCATTCACTGTCCCTGGGTGCGTGGCTGAAGTGGAATTCCGCGATGCGGATTCGTGTTGTTGTTTGTTGCTGTTGTTGTTCTTGTTGTTGTTGAATTCTCACTTCTGAAGAATAATTATTGTTGATCCCCCCCCACCGGTGCATACTGTTTTTTCTCCACCAAAGTGTGCCCCTCGACGCTCGCACCCGGTTTTTGACAAGGAAAGTCTTCCTGCTCAAACTGGCCCCCTGGCCCCCGGGTTACAACAACAACGGCTCCCGCCTGAGACTTCCTTACAAGTTAGCCAGGACCCCCGCTCCTACCCGAGACTTCCTCGCATTTTATTCAGGAATCGCGCTCTTGCTGCGGATTTTCTTACAATGTATTCAGGAATCGCTTTCCCGGCGCTTTGGAGTCGCGCTCTCGCTGGAGATTTGTTTGCAACTTATTGAAGAATAGCTGTGCGTTGGAAAGGCACCCAGGAGTCGCGCCCGTTGTGGCCCCATGTGCATGCCCGTCGGGGCACCGCTGTCGCCATTTGTGTCCCCCTCAGTGTCCTACGTGGCCCAGTTGCTACCCTCAGTGGCCCCATAGTTGCCTTCTGTGGCCCCGCATTATCTGCACTTCGTGCCCCCCGCTCGTTCGCGCTCTTCGTGACCCCATACGCATTCCTTTCGTGTCCCCGCTGTCGCCCTTCGTGGCCTACTTCCGCGCCCTTCGTGGCCGTGTTGTCGTTCTCTCTCGCTCTCGCTTTCGCTCGTCGTCGCCGTCGTCGTCGTCGTCGTCGTCGCCGTCGTCTCGTCGTCGTCGTCGTCGTCGTCGTCGTCGTGGTCGGTCCCCTGTCCGTCCCTCTTGGGGTCGGGTCGACGGTCCGCGGCCGCCCCGCCGATCAGCGCTGCCGCTGGCCAGGCCGACGGTCCGCGGCCGCCCCGCCGCTTGCCGGGGTCCAGCCTGCAGGGAAGAAAGGTAGACCCCCCCAAAAGGGTTCGATCGAAAACGAAGAGGGCGGGTATCGAGGGTTTGGGAAATACGCGTTATTGGACACTGGAGCAAATAAGGGCGAACAGTCTTAAAATTGTTGTTGTTGTTGTTGTTGTTGCTGTTGTTGTTGTTTTGTCAGTTGTTTGTTGTTTGTTGTTTGTTGTTTGTGGTTTGTGATTTGTGGTTTGTTGTTTGTTGTTTGTTGTTTGTTGTTTGTTGTTGTCGTCATCCCACCCGCGACCCACCCGCGACCCACCCCGCGACCCACCCCGCGACCCACCCGCGACCCACCCCGCGACCCACCCGCGGCCCACCCCGCGACCCACCCGCGACCCACCCGCGACCCACCCGCGACCCACCTCGCGACCCGCCCGCGACCCACCCCGAGACCCCCCCGGCGACCCACCCGCGACCCACCCCGCGACCCACCCGCGACCCATCCGCGACCCACCCGCGACCCACCGCGACCCACCCGCGACCCACCCTGCGACCCACCCGCGACCCACCCAAAATTTTGGCGCCTGCGGCGGGTTTGTTTTGCATGCGTTCTAGGTGGGAAACCTGCCACCCAGCCGCGACCCAAACCGCGCCCGCGACCCACCCGCGACCCACCGCGACCCACCCGCGACCCACCCCGCGACCCACCCCGCGACCCACCCACAATTTTCGGCGCCTGCGGCGGGCTTCTTTTGCATTCGTTCCAGGTGGAGAACCTGCGACCCACCCGCGACCCAAACCGCGCTCAGTGTACAAATCAAAATGTTCGGCGCCTGCGGCAGGCTGTTTTTGAATTTCTCCCAGGCGACGGTGGAGAACCCGCGACCCACCCGCGACCCAAACTACGTTCACTGAACAAGCCAAAACTTCGGCGCCTGCAGCGGGTTTCCGGTGCATTCGTTCCAAACGGAGGAGGAAAAGGAGGAAGACGAGGAGGAGGAGGAAAAGGAGGAAAAGGAGGAAGAGGAGGAGGTGGAGGAGGCGGACATGGAAGAGAAGGAGGAAGAGGAGGAGGACGAGGACGCGGACGATGAAGAGGAGGAGGAGGAGAAGGCCGCCATCAACAAGGAAGGTGAAGGCCACGAGGTCCGCCGGCTCGACGCCCGCGTCGCCCGCGCCCGCCCCCTCACTCTTATCCGCAATTGCGGGGTGCTGCGTATCGTGGCGAACGCCGTCCACGTCTGCCCCCGAGAACTTCTCAAACTCCCGTCCATCTCCGTGAGAGTAGCCAGCATTCGCGCGACCGTCCCCAGCGCGTAAGCAGAAGCTCCGAGCACCCGAATCGTGAAGCATTTCCCGATGGGCTCTCCATCCGTGTGTATGCCGTTCGGCGCGATGTTATCTCTCTGCAACCAGGGGCCAAGAGCAGCGAGCACGTCGTTCTTCGCAAGCATACCATTTTGTCCTCATGGCCAGGATGGTGGCGGCGGTCTCCCTGCCGAAGGACAGGTCAACAGGCGGGACGGGCCGTTCTTCCTTGATGTCTCTGAGTTGCCATCTGGCAGCCGCCATCTCCGACGTGAGCTTCTGAATCTCGGTGAAATGACCTGCCACCGTCATCTCCACTCCAGCAACTTCGCGCTCGATGGTTGCCTGAATCTGCCCGAAGGCAATTGAGAGGGTGGAGCCGAGCGAAGCGATCTGGGATGACGTGGTACCGACCTGATGCTGAAGCGAGGCCACTGCAACCTCCATGGCTTGCTTGGTGCTCCCCACATAGGCTCGCAGCTCGGCATCTGGGTCTCCTGTGCGCGAAGACTTGTCATTGTCATCATCAGTATCGGTACCATCATCATCATCAGCAGCATCATCAGCAGCATCAGCATCACCACAACCACCACCATCAGCAGCATCATCACCATCATCAGCATCAGCATCATCATCAGCATCATCATCATCATCATCATCATCATCAGCATCATCAGCATCATCAGCATCATCATCACCCTCATCGCCATCACCATCATCATCATTAGCATCATCATCAGGAAACGTGGAAGCAGCAACGATAGCGTCGGCCAGCTGCCACTGCTGACTGGCTCCTATCGCGAGCGCCATGGGGTCTGGCTAGATAGGTGAAACTTCTGAGAGACCAGAACCCCCCGTCCTGATTCGAAAGAGGCTTACAGAAAGGCCGCAACGCTAATCGCTGATTCTCGGGCGTTCCTAGCCCTTCACAACGTGTAGTCTTGAGCCAAAAATGACTACGGACCTCCTCCTCCTCCTCCTCCTCTTCCTCCTCCTCCGATCCCCCTGCCCCACTATCCTCTTCCACCTCCCTCTCCTCCTCCTCCTCCTCCTCCTCCTGCTCCTCCTCCTCTTCCTGTTCCTTCTCCTCCTCCTCCTCCTCTTCCTCCTGCTCCTCCTTTTCCTCCTCCTCCCCCTCCTCCTCCTGCTCCTCCTCCTCCCCCATACTGCCCCTCCTCTTCCGCTTCTTCGTCTTCTTATTATTATCAATAACTAGTTGTGCTATTAGTAGTAGTATTACGATTAGTAGTATAATGGGTAGTTTTATCATTGAAAAATAGAATACCACCATTACTATTGGTGTTGTTGGTGTTGTTCGCATTCGTCGTATTATGATTACAAGTATCAAGTAATTCGTGATCACTAGTATTGTTGATGTTGCGCATATTGTTGTTATTCGTAGTAGTATACGTAATGTTCATATGATTATGACGATTCGTAGTATTACCAGTAGTAGCAGTATTACCATTATTAGTCGTATTATTATGAGTATTACTATTCGTCGTATTCTTATGGATTAGCAATATTATGGTTAAATATCAGTATCACTTTTTACCATTAATACTTGCATTACCAGTATTAGCGTCATTATGGATTGCATGATTAGTGGCATTATGATTAGTATTCCTTCTCCTCCTCCTCCGCAGCCTCTCCCAACTCCTCGTCCCCCTCCTCCTCCTCCTCCTCCTCCTCCTCCTCCTCGTCATCATCATCCTCCTCCTTTTCCTTCTCCTCCTCCTTCTCTTCCTCTTCCCTCTTCCTCTTCCTCCTCCTCTTCCTCCTCCTCCTCCTCCGCCCTCCTCCTCCGCCTCTTCCCCCTCCTCCTCCTCCTCCTCCTCCTCCTCCTCCTTCCCTTGGGGGGGGGGGGGGCGCGGGCGCGCGGTGGCGGCCCCCGCCCGCCTGCAGCGACGACTGGCCGGGGGGCGTGGGCTCCTCAGCTGGCATCTGCGGCGGTAGCGGCCAACCCCTGCGGGCGTTCGAGGCGCGCCCGCGGGCGAGGGGGAACGACGGGGAGGAGTGGCTCAGGCGGGGGGGAAGGGCATCGACATGGAAAAGGCAATACATTGCCGATTGGCCCCCTTTCTGACACGGAAGCTCCACAAGCAGTGGTAGCACCAAAAGAAAGCCTCACGCTTGTTACAAAGGAGTTATCCCTGCTGATTGGCGTTCCATTGGCTGTTAGGGGGAGCGGAATGGAAGACTGGCCCAGGAGGGGACACATCGTCCTGGAATCGGCGATAGGCCCCCGAAAACATAACCGCACGCTCCTGGGCGGTATGGGCTTTCAGTGGCCCCTGTCAAAGACGAACTGGCGACTGGGGGTCGATGCGCCACCCTTCCCTATCCCCCCTAACGTTTTCCCTATGTCTGGCTTCGGAAACTGAATACAATATCCTGGCGAAGAGCCAAGCCAACCATGCGCACTTTTGAGGGCCACACTTGTGAATATTGTATTCGGTGGAGCCCCCTTCACGGGGCCACAAAACGGTGTCACTGGGGCCTTTTTGTTCGTGGAACCCCTTTCGTGGGACCACGAACCGTGAAGGGGTGCGCCGTAATGAGTGGGGGAGACGCGCGCGAACGGTGCCACTGGGGCGTGGTGTGAGCCCACCCATGAGGCGACAAATCGCGTGATGGATGAGCCGTAATGGGCGTCGGAGACGGATGCTAACGGTGTCGCTTGGACCTTCGGTGGACCCTCCTTGTAAGGCCGCGAACTGTAATAGGGGTGCGCCGTAACGGGCGGGGGAAACGCATGCGAACGGGCCTTCGGTGGAGTTCCCTGTGAAAGCTTATGCGGCACCCTCCGCATGAGCCCCCGCCACCAATCACGGCACACCGCTTACACGTTCAGTGACCCAGTGAGGAACTCCACCGAAGGTTCCACTGGCGACGCGCGCATGCGGCGCCCCACCCATTTCGGCAGAGGAAAATCATTCAAGCCAACAAAGCAATTACAACTTGAGTAAATATCTTACACGTCTTCCCTGTGGACCACCCTCGAAAGAACTTACAGATGCGGCTAAATGAAAAGGTTGTCGGCGCCCCCCCGGCCCCCAGAAAGATTCAACTCCGGCGCCACGTCATTCCCTGGCCGCCAGCGGCCCTCAACCGGCAGGGAAAAAAACCAAACGGAAAGAAATACGGAAATAAACGGCACGGAAAAGGACACGAAAAGAACGGGGAGGAAAACGAGAGGACAAGAGAGGGACACAAAGAAATTGGAAAGAAACAAAGAGGAACAGAGAACATAAACGAAACGAAACAAACGGGAAAATTACATAACTGAAAAATATCAAAAGGAAAATGCATGGGATACGTAAAAAGCCACATAAGGAAACGCGACGGACAAACAGGGGAAACGAAAAGAAACAAGAGGGAGCATGGCACGGAAAGAGAACAATAAGAAACATAAAAACACGACTGCATGGGCCACCAAGGGGTCGAACATCAGATTGAGGATCCTTGGTAATATGATGTTACCTTTTCTGGGCCTGATGCTGATGATGCTGGCGATGATGATGCTGGTGATTACGATGACGATGATCATGATGATGGTGATAATGCTGATGCCTTGTCCCCGTCCCCATCGTCATCGTCTTCCTTCCCCTCGTTCTCAGCATCGCCCTGGCCCTCTCTGGTTTCCCACCATTATCCTTGTACTCCCCCCCCCTCCCCCCCTCCCTCAACCTACATCATCAAATCTCTCCTCCCCATGCTCCTCCTCCTCCCCATACTCCTCCTCTTCCTTGGATGTCCATCCATATTAACCAACCCTCTCCCAGACTGCATCATCCAACCTGCCCCCGCCTTTGGTGCAAAATCGTACAGGACCACCGAAAACAAAAATGAAATTACCGCCTCAAAAGTAATCCGGACCACTCCAAAAGTCAACAGGACCACAGAACAAAAAAACGAAGGACCCGAAAATGCACGACCTAAAGCAAATTCAATAAGATGGTCAAAAACATGGCCCGAAGAAAAATAAAACATGACCAACAACACGGCCAAACATAAGCAAACGGAACCCGAAAGAAAAAACAC